GCTGGTGTTTCCTGTGGATGTGATGTTCGACCTCAGTACCTGGCTGCGGCTGTGGGGTTTCAAGTTATGATGCATCATTCTGAGTGTGAGCTTTACTAGGTGGCACTTTGGGAAGCTTGTGATTTTCCCATTATGGTTCTTTTAGAGAGGTGCCTATTCCTAATCCTAAACCCTAAACCCTAAACCCATTATGGTTCTTTTCTGGAGGTGCCTATTCATAAATACCTCTCCGGGCCTCAAAACTACAACCGAGGGTGAGGATTCTGCTTGTACTTGACAGTGACAGATGAGAATTCCCAGTCAAACTGCATGCTTAATCCTGATTTCCTATGTAAATCAAAGCTGGGTTCGGTGTCGGAAAGTCTGGTTAGTTCGAGTGTTCAAGCAAATCGTTCTACTAGGCTGCTTTGGACCTCTCTGAATGGTTGACTGCTAGCCCCAACCCCCAGACCCTCATCCGTAATTAATTCCAAATCCCCAAACACCCCCCCAAGTTCGGGGTCATGGGACTCCGAAGATAGACCGTGAATAGGAGGCTACTGCTTTCAGCAGGCCCCTAAACCCTGAACCCCAAGACCCACAGCCCTACATCCCTGAACCTAAGCCCTTAGAGGTACCTCTCTATTGAACGATCCATGAAGATGACACATCTTGCAGGTAAGAGGCCTCCGCCTCCTTTGGTTTACAAGTTTTGTTGCTTGCAAGCTGGCATGGGCCTCAGTCGCAGATTCGCTTCAGGTGCATGGTTGAGTTTTGCTTGTTACCGTTTGGTGCATCGTTTTGCTTATTTGTGGGATGTTTGCAGATCGCTATTGTCGTGCACCATATAGCATGCAGTCTACTCATCTACACTTATAAGAAAGAGTGTTCACGCTGCCGCCACTGTGCGAAGGCTACCATGGTGGAAATGCACTGGATCCACCCCATTGCGCTATACAGCCCTAAGCCTACAGGTACACCCAAAAAACTGAAAGTAATCAGTCTGAGAACAACTCTACACTATCTTATTTATAGTAACCCCTGCAGGGGACATAAACCTCAGACAGTCCCTAAACCCCAAACCCAAGCTGTAGACACTGAGGCATTAATACCGCTGTGGCTCCGCAGCAGGGAAGACCCTGATTTTCAGCAGCACAGCTTGCTTCTTGGCAGGGTTTAGAGTCTAGAGTCTAGAGTTTAGGGTTTATGGTTCAGAGTGAGGGTCTAATCCAAGCAGGCGCCAAAGGTTTAGGGGCTTAGGATTTAGGGGTTTAGGATTTAGGGGTTTAGGGTTTCAGGGGTCTGGGGTCTAGGGTTTAGGATTTATGCAACTGGTGTCCTCTGTGTACAGCTAAGGAGCCTCCGGCCCTATCATCTGACCAGCGGGAGGTGCTTACGAGATACTACATACTTCCATCCTAAACCCTAAACCCTAAACCGGCATACTTCTACTCTGCATGTCGAGACCGGCTACATAGGTGAGTGCTAACAGGAACCTACAGGACGGACATTATGAATCCTGGGCTCGAAAATCCAGTTCTCCGAACTCTGGGTTTAGGGTTTTAGGGTTTAGGGTTTTAGGGTGTAGGAATTAGGAGTTTAGGGTTTAGTAGGGCCCTTGACTCCTAAACCACATGCACATGACTCAATGACTAGCCGATACAGCGACAGAGCGAGTCGTTCGTAAACCTAAAGACCCCTTACAGTACAGTGCCCTTACTATAGTAGCCTGTTATAGAAACCCTTTATGGAACCCTTGCAGTAACCCTCATAATAGCGACTTGTGGTGGTAACCCGCCGTAGCCCCTTATAGAACCCCACTACTAGTAGCATATAGCCCACGAGGCCCTAGAACCTAACTCTTCAAGCCCCAAAATCCGTAAGCCCGAAATCCTCTAAATCCTAAACCCCAAACCCCTAAGCCCTGAACTAAAACCCTCAACCCTAAACCCTAACCCCTTTGAAGCGATGCCGGAAGATGGACCAAGGCTTCCGGGCAAGCTGAGCAGCTGAGCCGACATTCAGGGGGCAAGTAGGGTTTAGGATTTAGGAATTAGGGTTTATTGTTTAGGGTTCAGGGTGCCAGGCCTTCCAGTTACAGGGTATTTTACGGATTTTACTTGTGTTTATACGAGGTTTCGGGTTTTGTAAGGGGTTATACAAGGGCTCTGCATTGTGATCCGCTATGGATTCTACTTTGGTATGTATATACAGGGCTCTTTATAGGTTTGGGGTTTATATAAGGGTTCTGTATAAAGGGCTTAGGGTTTTCTAAGAGTTGCATATACGTGTTTGCATTGTATGCGTAGGCAGGTATGTATATGTGTGCATATGTATTTCCATGCATACATACATACATACATACATACATACATACATAGATGCATACATACGTACATACATACACATGCATACATACGTCTATAGGGGCTCTTTGAAGTCGGGCTGGTGCAGGCGCAGATCAGTTCATGTTCCGGACATGGGCATGCCGTAGAAAGTCTGTGATGACAAGGAGAAAGGCCGGTTAGTCTAGCAACTCTTTGGCGGAAGTAAGACAAGGCCCATAAGACAGAGCCATGAAGGGCCTGAGTCAGATTGTCGAGCTCGGTTTAAGTGCAACCTCCTAGCGCAAGAGAGCAACATCTGTGCGTGGACGCACGACATGGCCGAACTGCAGTCTTCCAAGCCTTTAAACATCCCAAACCATCCTCAAGCTTGCACCCGTATCGTTTCACAACGAAAACTGACTGAACCATAAACCCCAATCGCGGCATGGGGTCAGAGCTTTGGAAGACCTCCGCCCAAATTGCCTGTTATGGCTTTTCCAGGCCCTAAAAACCCATAGACCCCCAAAGTTTTCAGCCCCAAACCCTATATGAAGCCATGCCCTAAACCCCAAACCCTTACCCCTAAACCCTATAACCCTAAACCTGAACCGTAGACCCAGACCCTAGCCCCGCTCAGGCTATCTTTTGAACCTTGGATTGAATTTCAACTTCATCGCGCACGCGGCTCGTGATCTGCCTCGCTTCCTCCGCCCTCAGGACGGGGTTCAGGGAAATATAGGGGCCTTAGTACGAATAATAATGGTAAGTCGGGGAAATATAGGAGCCTTAATACGAATAATAATGATAATTCGAATAGGTTTTTTGTAACATTATGGTCCATGGATTGGCTTCTGCATTATAATAGTATTCGTTTCCTGTACGCGAATGCTTTAAAGGGGTTTGTATGGGCTCCACAGGGGATGTTAGGGCCGCTAGGGCATTGAAGCAGGATTCTGTTTGAGAACCGTGGTGAGTATGTATGTATGCATGTATGTATGTATGTATGTATGTATGTATGTATGTATGTATGTATGTAATGTGTATATATATACACATATATATATATATATGTGTGGCTCATATTGAATATTGGTGAACGTACATGGTCCATATAAAGATACGAATGACAACCTACTTCGTATGCTGCAACACGAAAGGTTTAGCAGGCTCGCGCTTAAGGTTTAGGATTTTAGTGTTCGAGATTTAAAGGTGTATCCACATCCGGTGGCCCTAGTTCGCAAGTAGAATTGCGAAATCCTATCCCCATTATCCTCAAATTCAATCCCCTAACAAGAAGCCAGAGAACCCAATACCCCTTAATTAAAGAACATACCTTAAACATAATATTACGGCCCCTATAATTTAAGGTACTAAACCAAGGCCTTGCATGCCCTCGACAACGATTCTCCAGCTTTGTTCGGGTCTTGGGGCTCCGTGTTCCAGGGCTAGGCCGGATCACTCCTTGCGCCCGCCGTAAATACATACACCATGGATGGATATGCTAGGGATGCGTATGTGCATATAGACACATGCAATGCGTGTATATATATATATGTATGTATGCATGCATGCATGCATGGATGTATGTATGTACGTAGGTATGTATGTATGTATGTATGTATGTATGTGCATTTAATTCTATACATATACACATACATACATATGCATGTATAGATAGATCGATCGATAGATAGATAGAGCGAGCATATGTACTACCGGTGTTTGATTGATTTTGGTACAAGTGATCCTCATAATGGCCATGTCACAAGGAATGCACGAGAAGGCAGCTTGCCAGATGTAGGAATGTAGGACTAGTGGACCGGTCCAAGCAGCTAGCAGACTTCCAGTTATTAAGATTGTAGTGTTTGGGCCTGGGGTTTAGGGTTTTCGGCGGGGTTTTGGATTTAGGGCTGGAGTTCAGGATCTGATGCGGCTTCAGACCCTGTGCAGGGCGTCAAAGTACCCACGCGGACCGCCTACGCAGTGCCGCTGGCTGGTGCCAAAGTGCAGGGCTCAAAGACCTCAGCCCCGCAACCGACTTAAACCGAGGTAAGGGTTCAAGGCTGCAGAGGTGCACAAGAGACTGCCAAGCACAGCTTCCTCCAACCAGCCCAGATATGGGCTGCAATATTCCGTGGCTTAGTGTCTCAGACCAATCAATCACGGCGACGATGCAAGTTTCGTTTCAACCCGTTGTACTGCCCACTGCCTTCAGGAGTGACAGTTTCACAGCGACGTATCCGGTGAGGGTTTGTCTATCTCACGCAGGGCATCCCTCATAAGGTTCAATCGAACATTAACTTTCATGGTTCATGATAGGAAGCATGCTTGAGGCTTTAGGGTATCAGGTTTAGGACATGTAACGTAGTTTTTGGCAATTAGGAGGGCTTGAGCTTGGGCAGGTTCTCGTTTCCCCAATGTTTCCTGAAGCATTAGCTTTTCGTGATCAGGAAACTATGCTGCGCGAGACGTAGTCATTGTGCCATGTTCTCTGTCTCTCTCAAGGTGCACCTGTCGTCTGCCGTTTGAGAGGCACAGAGGAAGCGCAAAAAGACCTTCCTGGCAACTAGGTGTCAGGCTATGAATCTCTACGAAAGTGCAATCGTGCAGTACTCGATGACATTGGACATTGTGCCATACAGCCAAGCAGCCAAGCAAACAGTATCTAGATTGTGAGCATTCCTCGGTCGTGCGATGACGCGCAGGCCAGCGCTCTTCGAAGTTTTCGAAACAGGCAGTGCCTTCCGCTTGTGGCATACAGAGAACAACGTTTGCCAATGCTTATCCTGCCAGGGTGAAGGATACAGTTGGTCAGGGTCGCGGACCTTTCTGACCAATGCCGAGACCAACAACGAAGAACAGCTTTGGGTCATCACATCCTTCACCGAGGACGGAAATGCCTTCAAGATTGCCAACGTGAAGCACGGGCTATTCTTGTGCGCACATGGGCGGCTCGCTGGCCCGATCCTCTTTTGTCATCAAGAAAATGGCGAGTCGGATCAGGCATGGCTCTGCCTTCCTACTGGCCAGGACCGTTTCCACCTGAACAATGTAAGTGTTGGCAAAGTAGCCAATGGCTCTTGGCATGTGGAGCATGTCCGGACCTTTGCAGGCTTCAGCCAAACGCCAGTGCCAACAACTCCGGCTGCTGGTTCCGACACTTTGAAAATTGCTGCTGCAGCCGGCGCAGCGGGAGCAGTCCTGGGGGCTGCAGCCATCGTAGTGGGTGCGTCACTCCTCGCTAGCAACGACGATGAGAACCGGACACGCAACGCCAACGACAGACGCCGTGATGTTCAGCGCCTGCGTGATCAAGACGGTAAGGTGACTTTGACCGATCACTTGCACCAACTGAAGGATGTGACCCTCGACTTGAAGAAGACTTTTGGAAAAGAGAGCATCCGAGGAAGCTCGGCAGGTGGTGAAAGACGCCTGCTTTTGCACAGCATTCGCTTCACCCAAGACAGCGTTGCCTCGCAATTTCAAGATGGCCGGTCTCTAGAGGAAACTGTGAGCTCGTTGCGGTCTGGGAAGATGGCCGTCGATGACCTTCCGGCCATCCGTGTGGTCGAGTACATGAACAACTATTGGAGTTTGGACAATCGACGCCTGAGCTGTATGCAGGAAGCCTTCCCAGAGCGACGCCATGCAGACAAAGCGATTCTAGTGAAGATGGAAGTGCTGTCGGATCCAAAGGTCTTTGCTGAGTTCAATCGGAAGTTTACGACAGGAACACAGATAGTAAAGCGAGGCGGTTCTTCAAAGTCCTGAAAAAGATGACATGTAGCAGTTTCTTCAGTTCATTTTCCGGAAGCGCTGCAGCAGTTTGGCTGCACTGCAAATACCTTACGTTGCTTCCCGAAGAACCCGCCAAAAAAATGGTGGGTGTTTCTGCACAAGTAGGTGTGCTCAAGTGAAGCTGCCTCGGGCTTCGCTCTACCTGAGCAAAATTGCTGCAGATTTCCTGGGAGCCCAATCTATCTTCATATGTTTGATCAGATGCCAAAGCTTACTAAGGCTTATCTGCCAGCGGGGGTGAGAGTGGTACCGGGTTCCAGGTCATGACTTACACACTATCTGCAGCAGGGCGAATTGTGCATCAGGTTGCTCTGGTGCCAAGATGTGTCAAGATTTATGCCGTTCAGGGTTGTGGCTTAGGTTTCACATAGAAGGCTGGCGCCTGGAGCGATTTTAGGAGCAGATGGACAGCACGAAGCTCTTCTTCAGATCGATCCTCCAAAGCCTATTCTGAACGAAAGAGTAATTACAGTGGGTCCCCAGCAGTCCGAGTCTTTCTGTTCCAACTTCAGAGGCTTAAGATGACTAGAGAAGAACCCGGTTCCTGGAAGTCTGCCATGACTGACACCCGTTGTGTGGCAGGCTGAGACCAGGACGTGTGCACAGATGGGCTTGCTGTTGCTGGTGCTAACTTGTACCTGAACCCCAAGTAGCCTACCTTTGCGGGGCTCCCTCTTGTCACATCCTTATGTATGTCCTCACAACTGTAGATTGTTTGTGTTGGTCCAGGTAGGACAGAAGAATTGGACTTGAGGCTGTAGGGCGCGCATGTTGACAGATGCCAAACATATTAGTGCATATTGTCAGTGCCATTATCACCAATCCCCCTTAACGCTGAAGACGGAGGTGCTGGGTATCATAGAAGTCTCGGTTACCAGCAAGCCGATGGTAATGGTCATTATCGGCATTTTCATGAAGGCTTTGACTGAGTTCAGCATCCTTGGTCTTATTGCTTCCTGCCAGAATGACCACTACCAGTTGGAGTGTCCGCTTGCCGAAATCGCCAGGCTTGCTATACCAGTATCGCTGCTACTGTTGCTGTGACTGCTAGCTCTGTTGTGGAGCTTCTTTGCTTCTGTTCCAAGTGTAGTCTCAATTTGTTTTGTCCTGACACGTTCTACTGCTGTTGTTGGTACTGCTGTTCCGACCATGTTGACCATTTTGATTGGGTGTAGGTATGAATATTCAAAATCAGGACCATAGAAGTCACCAACACAGTGAGTGCTGCCACTATGGCAAAGACTGTAACACTAAGAGGGGCGGTGTTTGATGTTGATGCCGAAGTTGATTACCATGTCTATGTCGTAGCTGCTGCTGTTGCTGTTGTTTTCGCTGGTAGTGACTGTCCCTGTACCATTTCCCGTTTTCCTTATTCATGGTATTTGTTCTGTTCAACTTCCAAATTCCGGCTGCTATTGCCCCTAAACCCTAAACCCTAAACCCTAAACTCCCTAAACCCTAAACCCTAAACCCAGTCGTTCTATACTCCGCTCTTTTTCGACTCAGGGGGCCCAAGCCTAAGGCTCTAAATGCTCAAATGCTCAAATGCNNCTCAAATGCTCAATCCAGCCTGTCCCCCAGCAGGTTTAAGTACTCTAAACGCCAGACCCAGTTCTCTCATGACTATGTTCTGAGTCCCGTACTACATTCCTGCTAGCGAAGTTGGTTTAAGCTACCATAAAGCAGGAAACATAAGCTGGAACTGTAGTTTAAGCTATGTACATGTCCCCTTTTTGGTGACTTAGCGTTAACGAAGCTCCTTAACAAGAGCCACTACGCCCCAAGCCCCTGCACCTGAAACGCGTCACCCCAACCTAAAACCGCAACCCTTAAGCATTGAAGCTAAACAAGCCCTTCAAATGGAGGCCCTAGGGCCCCAGGCCCCAAGTTCCGGACCTGAAACACATGTTCTGGTTTGCAGTCGTAGACACTTTTTCGGCCGAGTGGAAAAACTCTAGACACAGCAACCAGCAAAGGCTCTTGAAAAAAAGCGCAGGTTTGCAGGGGGGATGGGTCGATTCTACAAGCATACTATACAATTCTCGAAACCTTTGGCTACAAGTCTTGCTGCTCGATGACTTAGCAATGAGGTTTCAGGTGCGGTCCTTTGGGCTGTGGCCCTTCAATCTTGGAGTTTTGGTCTCGCATCCTTGGCCACATATCGTGGTGGGTGTCCTAGCTCGTAACTAACTGTAGAAGATTGCTAAGACTGCTAAGATTGACAGCATTCAGAAGAAACCCAAGAACAACGCACGCAATGGAATTATGATCGTAGCAGATGCTACAACTGCTGTAGTACTGCAGACTGCGTACTACGACTACTGCTGCTGCTGCT